TCAAACTCTGCCTTTTTTTTCTGAGTCACTTAGGACATCCTTTCATGCTAAGTGACTCCTAGTCATACCTTTCGCTTGCCATATGCAGGAATCTGACACCCCCATCTTACATCACATACTACTTTTTTTTTTTTGAGTAGGAATCTCACTCTGTCACCCAGGCTGGAGTACAGTGGCACATTCATGGCCACTCAACCTGCTGGGCTTAGGTGATCCTTCTGCCTCAGTCTTCTTTTTTTTTTTTTGAGTCGGAGTCTCACTCTCTCGCCCAGACCGGAGTGCAGTGGCCACTGCCGGCCACCGCTACCTTGGCATGCTGGGCTCCGGTGATCCGTCCGCCTCAGCCTTCCAAGCAGCCGGAATTACAGGCATGCGCTACCACGCCCGGCTGATTTTTTGATTTATTGTAGATATGAGGTCTCGCCAAGTTGCCCAGGCGGGTCTCAAACCCGCGGGCTCAGGCAATCCACTCACCTCAGCCTCCCAAAGGCGCGGGATTACAGGCTGAGCCACCAAGCCCGGCTCTGCCTCAGCCTTCTAAGTAGCTAGAACTACAGGTGCATGCCACCACACCTGGCTAATTTTTTTTTTTCTGAGTTGGAGTCTCACTGTCGCCCAGACTGGAGTGCAGTGGCTGTTCCCGGCCACCACAGCCTCGACCTGCTGGGCTCTGGCGGTCCTTCTGCCTCAGCCTTCCAAGTAGCTGGAACTACAGGCACGCGCTACCACGCCCGGCTAATTTTTTTAATTTATTGTAGAGATGAGGTCTCGCCTGCCCAGGCGGGTCTCGAACCCACCGGCTCAGGAAATCCACTCATCTCAGCCTCCCGAAGGCGCGGGATTACAGGCTGAGCCACCGAGCCCGGCTAATTTTTTTTATTTATTGTACAGACAAGGTCTCGCCAAGTTGCCCAAACTAGTCTCAAACACCTGGACTTGGGCAATCCTCTTGCCTCTGCCTCCCAAAGCACTGGGATTACAGACGTGAGCCACAGCACCTAGTTTGCTACTTTCATTTGATTTGCACAGGATTTTCTTGAACTTTTCCTCTACACCATTTCCTGGGAAGGACTGATCAACACACAAGGAAGATGTGTAGTTGTCTGTAGTTAAGAGCATGTGTCTTTGGAATAAGACAGATCTTGGTTTCAGACAAAATTCTACCAGCAGTGAGACCTTGAGAAAGTTACTTATTCTTTCTCGGTCTCCTCATCTGTAAAATCATAGTAATAACATCTTTTTCACATGGATAGACTAGGTTCTGAAAGAGATAAAATGAAGCAGTTGAAGCACATAAGAATCACTTTATAAATGTTCTCTAAAAGAAAGCAAAAAGTTAGCAAAGCAGGGCTTCATTATTCTGCCCACATTTCTATAATGCTGACACCTTGAAAACTGCATGAAACCCCTTACCCCTGGGGCCTGATCTTCTGATGACTGGATTTTTTATTGAGGATTATAGTTTATTTTCTTTCTATAAAGGTTTATTATATAAATATCTATATTTACAACTGCATACAAAAATAAGTATATTTAATGTATGTATATCAGCAAGAGTGAGTACAAATATCTAAATTTTTGGACATATGCCTTAGCTCAAATCCTCAAGTAGAAAAGAAATATATACCCAGCGAAGAGATGGCATTTTCCATTTACCCTAAAGTACTAGGAAGAGGACTTTGAACCACAGGGTCGGTAGCAAAATAAGCCACACTCAGACAAGCTCCCACAGAGGGACCTAGCTTGTGTAAAGAAGGAAGCACCCACCTGGGGCTAGTGGAACTGGACGGTTGCTGGTAAAATCAGACTCCTCTGCTGCCTTAAGTTTCTGAAACAGATAAACAATTTCACCTACTCCTTATAAGCACCCTTGTGTCTGAAAAGGTCTTATTTTTATGATACCCTAGATAAATTACTATAGTGCGTGTTGAGGTCAGGTTCTAAGCCATGCCCTGTGGAATTAGCAAGTGTTTCTCGGTATTGTTATTGAGTAACATGCCCAAGGTCACACCAGTTAGGAAGTGGTAAAACCCAAACTGCATAAATGATCCAGATGATCCACAGATGTGTATCCAAAATGCAAATGTGGATCACGATATTGTTCAACAGCACTCCCAGGTAGCACGGGGTTTACCAACATAAAGTGCCCAAATGGGACTGTTTTTCACATACATCACCATGATTTTGTTCAATCTCACCTTCTTTTCTACTAATTCCACAAGACAAAGCACTCATAGCCATCTTAACTATAAGTCTTTTAAAGGAAGGACATATTAGCCGGGCTCAGTGGCTCAGCCTGTAATCCAGTGCTTTGGGAGGCTGAGGTGAGTGAATTGCCTGAGCCCGCAGGTTTGAGCTCCACCTGGGCAACTTGGTGAGACCCCATTCTACAATAAATCAAAAAAAATTAGCCGGGCGTGGTAGCGCGTGCCTGTAGTTCCAGCTACTTGGAAGGCTGAGGCGGGAGGATCGCCGGAGCCAGGTCGAGGCTGCGGTGGCCAGGAGCGGTCACTGCACTCCAGTCTGGGCGACAGAGTGAGACTCCAACTCAAAAAAAAAAAAAGAAAAAAAAAGGAAGGACATATATGAACCATCTTTCCTTCAAAAAGACCATCTTAGTGTCATGAAAATCATTTATAGAGGAAAGAATATAGGGAAAAAAGTGAAGACGAGCAGGAGAAAGGAAGAGGGGAGAGAAGGAAAGAACAGGTGATACAAGAAATCCTGAAGCTTGTCACAGTGATTTCCTGAGCAGAAGATCTGAAAACCATTGACTTATTATTCCAATATCTGAAAGAGTATAGAGTGGAATGCTATCATTAATTAAAACATGTCTGCTTTCCAGAGTACCCGAAGATTCCTTCTGGGTTGGTTCTTCCACTTTCCTGCCATGGTACGTAGAGTGTGGGGATTACTTACTTCGGGGATTCTGAAGACCTGAAATCTGCAATCATTATTCTAAGCACTTATTGTTGCCACCCCATGTTGTTGGCATAAACATTACCAAGGAGACTGAAATGATTGTAAACTAATGCCTATGCAACGAGAAAAGGGATGTTAACAATTTTTTTCAGTGTGAGTGACTGGGAGAGTGTTGCTTGGGGAAGTGTGATATTTTAAGGATATTTTTCACTAAGATTAGAAAAGCAAAATGAAAAAAAAATTTAAAAAAACCAGAATCAGGGAAAGAACTATGTGTGGACAGCAGGATCACCTAGTGAGTTGAAAATAACAAAGGTAATTCTCAGATTATAGCTGGTGAAGACTGTAACTACATAACTACATAACTATGAAAGTGGATGGTTCATAAAATTTTTCTTTAAATAAAATTTATTCTTTAGATACAAAATTAAAATGTTATAAAGGAATTACCATACATGTCTTATTTATAACTTTTTTTTAATTTTTAATTTTAATTTTTATTTTTTTGAGTTGGAGTCTCACTCTGTCACCCAGACTGGAGTGCAGTGGCCGCTCCCGGCCACCGCAGCCTCGACCTGCTGGGCTCTGGCAATCCTTCCGCCTCCGCCTTCCGAGTAACGGAATTACAGGCGCGCGCTACCACGCCCGGCTAATTTTTTTGATTTATTGTAGAGATGAGGTCTTGCCTGCCCAGGCGGGTCTCGAACCCGCGGGCTCAGGCAGTTCACTCACCTCAGCCTCCCAAAGGCGCGGGATTACAGACTGAGCCACCGAGCCCAGCTATTTATAACTTTTTACTGAAATATAATACAGAAAAATGCAAACAGGAGTACAATTCAATAAATTCTTACACATGCAGAATACACTTTTGTAACAAGCACACAGATCAAGAAACAGAACATTATCAGTCATTCCAGAAACCTTCCTCAGACCTTCTTCAGCTCTGTACATGTAAATAAAATAAGCGAATGTGTACTCTTTGATGCCTGGATTATTTTAAGCACGACATTATGTTTGTGAGATTCACTTATATTGTTACATACAGAGAAATCATTCTCATTGCTATATATTATTGTGTGAACTTAACAAAATGTGTTTATATTTTCCACTTTTGAAGGGTTTTATGTCATTTTCCAATTTGAAAAAATTACAAACAGTACTGATATAAATATTCTAGAACATGTCTTTTGGTGGACATATGTACATATATCTCCTAAGCGTAGAAATATATATTCTTAGGAGATATATAGATATAGATGTAGATCCTTAAGAAATGTGTATTTGTATATAATATAGTTATATTAGCATATGTATAGATATATAAATATTCTATATCTCTAACTACATAGTTTTAATAGATATTGTCAATCACCAAAGTGGGGTTATACCAATTTTACACATCCACCAAGAGTGTGTGAGAGTTCCAGTTGTTCCATATCTTCATCACTTGGTATTTTTTATCATTTCCAATTTACCCATTCTGGTGTGTGTATTGTGTCTTATTCTGTAATCTTAATTTGCTGATAACTCATAAAGTTGAATTGGCATTTGGACATCCTCTTTTATGAAGTATTGGTCTCTATCTTTTGTCATTTTTTATTGGCTTATCTGGGTTTTTTTACTGATTTTTAGAAACTCTTTACATGTTCTAGACATGAGTCTTTTCTCAGATAAATGTTTGGTAAATATCTTCTCCCATTTGTGGGTTATTCTTGTAATGATGCCTTTATGAAGAAAAATTCTAATGTAATCAAAAGTTTTTGTTTATTATTTTAGGTGTCAGATTTTATAGTAAAAGTACAATTGAATAGGTTCACAGATGTGTAACCTTTGTTTCAGCGACTGCAGTGATAGACAAACTGTCTGCTTGGATGACAGAATCAAAAACCCGGTAATCTTTCACCTAATAGTGGCATACTGAATTGTAGGTACAGTGCATACAGAGAAAAAGGACTTCTTCCTAACTCTAAACCAAAACTTAAATGAAAAAATAACACTAGATTTCAGGACACATTACTTATACTTAATTGTACTGTTGCTTCTTCCAGAGATGTACTTGAAAAAGAATCTGTGATTCAATGGATCAGGGAAATGACACCAGAGTGAAAGAATTGATCTTTCTGGGAATTACTCAGTCCAAAGAGTTGAGCTGGGTCTTATTTATCTTCCTGTTTCTTGTGTACATTACAACTCTGATGGGAGACCTCTTTATCATGGTTGCAGTTACCTGCGAATCGCGCCTTCACATTCCCACGTACTTCCTGCTCCGCAATCTATCTATCCTTGACATCTGTTTTTTCTCCATCACAGCTCCTAAGGTCCTAGTTGATCTTCTGTCAGAGAGAAAGATCATCTCCTTCAATGGTTGTGTCACTCAGATGTTCTTCTTTCACCTTCTGGGGGGAGCAGATGTTTTTTCTCTCTCTGTGATGGCGTTTGACTGTTACATAGCCAAGTCCCTACACTACGTGACCATCATGAGTAAGGGGCGGTGCACTGCCCTCATTTCAGCCTCCTGCATGGGGGGCTTCGTCTACTCCATCGCGCAGATTTCTCTGTTGCTGCCCCTCCCTTTCTGTGGACCCAATGTTCTTGACACTTTCTATTGCGATGTCTCCCAGGTCCTCAAACTCTCCTGTACTGACACCTTCACCCTGGAGCTGCTGATGATTTCCAACAATAGATTACTCAGTTGGTTTATATTCTTCTTTCTCCTCATATCTTACACAGTCATCTTGACAATGCTGAGTTCTCACACTGAAGAGGGCAGGAGGAAAGTCATCTCCACCTGCACCTCCCACATTTTGTGCCCTGCATCTATGTCTATGCCCGGCCCTTCACTGCCCTCCCCAGGGATACTGCCATCTCTGTCACCTTCACTGTCATTTCCCCTCTGCTCAATCCTATGATCCATACTATACCCTGACAAATCAGGAAATGAAGTCAGCCATGAGGAAGCTAAAGAAACAACAAGAGCGTTCAGAAGGGTTTTAAATTCAGTGAGGACAAAATAGTACCAAAATTTAAAGATAGACATTAAATTTCACTTTCTTAAAATGAGAAGAGATCACCTCAATGCCCAAAACAAAGATACACCTATGGCTACCATGGAGTCCTAAAAGAGGTTGGTCCTATATTATATGGTGGGGACCATGTGAGTGATAATGCTTTGAAGCAAGATCTGTTCATGTCTCTCACTGCTTAGTTTCAGTTAGTCATTTCACAGATATTTACAGAACACATGCTATTTGCCTGACAATACTAGGATTCAGGTTGCCGAAAAAGATTACATGTAGTCACTGCATTAGACATGCCCCAAAATGCTTTAATAAAAATATAAACATTCGAGACCCGCCTGGGCAACTTGGCAAGAACTCATCTCTACAATAAATCAAAAAAATTATCTGGGCGTGGTAGCACGCGCCTGTAGTTCCAGCTACTTGGAAGGCTGAGGCGAAGGGATCACTGGAGCCCAGCAGGTCGAGGCTGCAGTGGCCGGGAGCAGCCATTGCACTCCAGTCTGGGCTCCAACTCAAAAAAAAACTAAAAAAAAAAAAAGATATAAACAAAGTCCTGGGAAAACACTGAACACTGTAGGCAATTTACTTGAGAGCGTCCAAAGACATTTGACCATGACCAGATCTTCCCAAGGGTAAAAAGGCAAAGAAGGGCCGGGCTCAGTGGCTTAGCCTGTAATTCCATCACTTTTGGAGGCTGAGGTGAGTGAATTACCTGAGCCTGCGGGTTCGAGACCCACCCGGGCAACTTGGCGATACGTCGTCTCTACAATAAATCAAAAACTAGCCAGGCATGGTAGCATGCGCCTATAGTTTCAGCTAATTGGAAGGCTGAGGCGGAAGGATCGCTGGAGCCCAGCAGGTCAAGGCTACGTTGGCCGGGAGCATGCCACTGCACTGCAGTTGCGGCGACAGAGTGAGACTCCGACTCAAAAATAAAAGGCAAAGAAGAACAATCCAAGAAAAGAAAACAGTATGTGCAGAGGAGGAGAACAGGGCAAGAGTGTGCCACATTTGCACAACAATGAATTCAGTGTAACCATGGAGTAATACACTCATGGGGTGAATACTAATAGTTCACATTCAAAAGGAAAACTGAGAAGAATAACTCCTTTTGTGGTCCCTTGACCAATGCAAATCTATTATTTCTGCTGGGGAGAGTGTGGCAAATGCTCAAATATATATTTCTTGTATGATTGAGTGAATGAACACAGAAACACATGAGTAACTGCTTTAGGGTCAGCAGTTGGCCCCATGGCAATCACCCGGGATAACAAATTGTCTCCCACTAACCCTGTGGCAGAAAGAGGGGTTGGTAGCAGTTAAAGGTATTTCCTTTTGAAAGGCAAGCTGCAAGCTTTAAAGACCACCAAGCCGGTTTTGTTTGAAAAAGCTGCCAGGCTCGGTGGCTCAGCCTGTAATACCGCACCTTTGGGAGGCTGAGGTGAGTGGATTGCCTGAGCCTGCGGGTTCCAGACCTGCCTGGGAAGCAAGACCTCATCTCTACAATAAATCAAAAAAATCAGCCGGGCGTGGTAGTGCATGCCTGTAATTCTGGCTACTTGGAAGGCTGAGGCGGAAAGATCGCCGGAGTCCAGCAGGTCGAGGCTGCTGTCTGGGCTACAGAGTGAGACTTCAACTCAGAAAAAAAAAGAAAGAAAAGAAAAAGCCAAATGGTCAAAGACTGATGGCTCTCATGGAAATGCAAAAGAGTAACTAATTCACAGACTTATCCAAAACCCCTCTTTTGAAGTTGATGGTTTACAACCCTGTAGTTCCTGGAGACCATTTGTTCTTTGAAAGACCTGATTTTAGCCAGGCTCGGTGCCTCAGTCTGTAATCTCGCACCTTTGGGAGGCTGAGGTGAGTGGATTGCCTGAACCTGCGGGTTCGAGACCCGCCTGGGCAGTGAGACCTCATCTCTACAATAAATCAAAAAAATCAGCCAGGCGTGATAGCACATTCCTGTAATTCCAGCTACTTGGCAGGCTGAGGCGGAAGGACCGCCGGAGCCCAGCAGGTCGAGGCTGCGGTGGCCGGGAGTGGCCACTGCACTCCAGTCTGAGTGACAGAGTGAGACTCCAACTCAAAAAAAAAAAGAAAGACCTGATTTTTCTGAACACCACCTTATAAATTCCCAAAAAAATGTGTAATCGCTCAACACGACCCCCTCTATCTAAACAAAAGTATAAAATCCCTCTTCTTCCGTTCTGCGGTGCTTGACCTGGATGCATTAGCCTGTCAAATCCGCCAAGCCCTCCGGCGTAATAAAATTGCCACTTCCTATAATAGTCTCGGTGTCACGGCCTCTCTATTTCCCGCTATAAGAGAAGACCCCCAAATCATTCAAGGTCATGATTTCCTCCCGAGAAAAAGAGGTAATACTGTAAGCATGAGTTTTCATAAAGAGATATCACTGATGGATGGAGACTGACTTTTTGAAAGATTTGAGCAAATGCAGATGCCATGCAACTGACTCCCTTTTATATAGCAGAATTATCCCATTCACAGAGTAGCCAGGCCCAAATTTCCCATTTTCTCTGCACATGGGGATCTCACCACTCCTTTGCACATTCCATGCAATCCATTAGAAGGTGAAGAGAGGGTAGTGAAAAGCATGGGTGTTTAATCAGCATCTCTGAGAATGTACTGGTCTTTGTAGAGCAAGGAATGGAGATGGTGCACAGAGGAGATTTATCAGCTAACATTCAGTTAATATTTTGCTGGAATCTATTGACTTCACTGTGCTGTTTTCCTTGATTGTAAAACTCTCAAGTAAATTGCCTACAATGTTTTCCCAGGACTTTGTTTATATCTTTATTAAAGCATTTTGGGGTGTGTCTCTAAGCCACAGCAGCTGGCACACATGTATCAGTCAGAGTAGACCAACCAAATGTCCATCTAGGTAGTTAACCACAACAAAATTTATTTCCTGCTCATATCACAGCTCAATGCCAGTCTTCAGGAAAAGGGCACTCTGATGCCATGCCATCATTCAGATACACAGGTTTCTTCCATCTTGGGCTCCATATTTTTCTAGACTCTCAGAATCCCATCCATGGATCCCACAGATGGAGAAAAGGAGAGAGGATTAGGAACTTTAGAATTTTAGAGAGGGGTGTGTGTCTTGATGGGCCAGTCCTAGAAATGGTGTGGACCACTACTAACCACATTCATTGGCCAGCTCTTGGTCGCATAGCCTCACCTCACTGGAAGGGGGAGGGACTGGAGAGTGTAATCAAGCTCTACTTCCAGAAAGAAGAGAGTATGAAGAATGGTGAGCTCTAGTGATATCTTCCACATGTGTGAGTCACTGCTAAGAAATCACAACTGAGTTAGATCACAAGGACTAAGATGTTGTCTCTAAAATGACTTTTTCTTAATTTTTAAATTGTGGGGTACAATTAAGGCTTAGGTATACAAATATTCATTGTGCAATTACCCTTGTTGATGAGGTGTGGCCCCCCCCAGGCAGATATCGACTACCTTTAATCCCACTTCCCTGTCCCCCCTCCCTCCCATAGTTTCCCGCTACTGTCAATAAAGGACTTTCTTAATACAGAAAAATGTTTGCTGGAATGACTACCGGACCTTTGGAACACAGAGAGAATCAAACTGAAATGAAGAAGATAAGGGGAAAAGAAATTGAAAGGAAGGGAAAAGTGATCAAGGTAAGCCTGGGAATTAGGCTGACAGTAGACTAGAAGGTACGGTCTCATGAGATAGAACACTTGAGTACAACCCAGCTTGGTAGCTCATGCTGGTAATCTCAGCACTTTGGGAGGCCAAGGCAGGAGGATTGCTTGAGGCCAGGAGTTCGAGACCAGCCTGAGCAACATAGTGAGGCCTCATCTCTACAAAAAAAATCAAAAAATTATCTGGACATGGTGGCTTACACCCGTACTCTCAGCTACGCAGAAGGTTGAGATGGAAGTATCATCTGAACCCAGGAGGTCGAGGCTGCAGTGAGCTGTGATCATGCTACTGGACTCTAGCCTGGGTGACAGAGTAAGATCCCAACTCAAAAAATTTAAAAAGTCAAAATATTAGCTGGATGTGATGGCACACATCTGTAGTCCTAGCTACTGGGGAGGCTGAGATGGGAGGATCGCTTAAGCCCAGGAATTTGAGGCTGCAGTGGGCTATGATTGCACCACTGCACTCCAGTCTGGACAACAGAGCAAGGTCCTATCTCAAAAGAAAGAGAGACAATTTTCTTCTCCATTGATTGATCTTTCTTGTGTTCTATTCTACTTCCACCACTCAAAAATGTTCTACATTATTTTCCAATATTAGACAATTTTTCCCAAGCATTAAAATTCTAATGAGACTGGGCATAGTGGCTTAAGCCTGTAATCCCAGCACTTCAGGAGGCTGAGGCAAAAGGATTGCCTGAGCCCGCAGGTTCAAGATAAGCCTGGGCAACTTGGTGAGACCTCGTCTCTACAATAAATAAAAAAATAAGCCGGGCGTGCTAGCACGCACCTATAGTTCCAGCTACTTGGAAGGCTGAGGCGGAAGGATCTCCTGAGCCCAGCTGGTTGAGGCTGCAGTGGCCATGAGCATGCCATTGCACTCCAGCCTGAGCAACAGAGTGAGAAAAAAAAAATCTAATGAAGACATAAATTTGTCTTCAGCTGTATCCATTTGTGGCTATGGAGCCCCCATTTACTGGCTGGCTCCATTCTTGCTCTAGTCTCATTTTTCCCCCATACTCTCTTTACTTTTGCAGTGATGCCTGTTTTCCTACCTCTCTGGTGGTTTTACCTCAAGCAAGACTTTTGTGACTGGGAAGAATTTTGAGTGACCAAAAATCTACACAATCATAGCTTGTGTTCCCAAGCGTAGAACCTCACAATGACAGCAACCCAGGAAAAGCTACCCATGCAACTGCAATGAACTGCGTTGGGAGAGTGAGGGGGAGTGACAGAAGGAATTCAGAGGTACAGAATCCTTCTGAGAAGGACAAGGAGAATG